GAATAGTATACTAAACACAGTATCACAATTCGTAGGAAGAATGAAAATATGACAGCTCAACAATATTCGTCTTGGTCGGAAGCAGAGAAATTGATAATAAAACAAATAAGGTTGCTGCCAATATGAGGATGCATGCTTTGCATCTCCTACATACAGATTTAATAAAAAAAAATGTTGACCAAAGGAAGTGTAACTTTCTTACCCAAAGAAGAATGAAAACGTACGCTGGGAACATATGTATTGTTACTTGGAAGCAGTGAAAATTGAAAAAAGAAGAAGACCCAAATACTAATATCGCTGCCAACTAAGGAGACATATTTGTGCGCTTCACCTACCCAGTTCATAAAAAACTTGTGAATCATTTAGTGATCAAATACATACTGGTTGACCAAATTCACACCCACAAACATGGCATAACCAAGGTACTGGCATCTACTCTAGATATCAAACAAAAATCAGAAAACAATTATTTTAGGAATCAACTAGCTCTGCATGATAAAAGATTGCCAAGAGGACAGGACTCAAGTCCGGTCGTGAGGATGTGGGCGATAGTCCATTCGTGCTTGCTTCGTTCCTGAAGCGATAGTCCAGAATGGTGGAGGAGGGCCTGATCACGATGTAGATAAGTGCGGCGGTGAGTTACGTTCTGAGCTCGTCGGTGACCACGGGGGCGGAGCTGGCCGGTGGGGTTTCCGAGCGGCTGGACGAAGAGGAGAGAAGGAGACTCCTGTGTGCGCGGCAAGGGAAAATGGGATCTGGTCGAGGCGAGTTGGGGACGATGCGTGCGAGGCGGAGGGAGAGCACGGCAAGCTGCATGCAATCAGGGTTAAGGGGCGGGGATTGCGGGTGGTTAGTTGCCTGCATATTTTTTTTTATTTTTTTATTTACATAAGAGGCAGAATCTTAAGCGTCCAATCTCAATTGAATCAACGGCATTTGAGTGGTCTGACGTTGGTGTCTTTCCAGACTATAGATAGGAAGCGTTTTCCAAAGAAGAAAATGCTGCAGGCCTGTGACCCTCTGTTCAAGGTCTGCCAGGCCCACGTATCATTACGACGAACCAGACGTAATCACCATTGATGATGCCCATTGATCTACGCGCATCTCGAGACACCACGCTGGTAAGGACGATCAGGATAGGGGGCCGGATGCATAAGAGCATCTACAGTCGGTCAATTCAAACCTGTCTCAAACGGCCATCTGCCTAGTCACAAAAAAGCAATCAAGACGGGCGTCTCAAACCGTCCTCAAACCCATGGGTTAACCGGCACTCCTTATATCCATCAAAATATGGGGTAGACATGGGGCGACCGGTCGCGCGTCCGCCACGTTGGATCCGACAGCCCTACCCCACCTCAAACTGCACCAAATCCACGTCTCGACATACCGGATCCATTTGTTCTCTCCTCTCTTCTTCCTCCTTTGCAACCAAGGGAGTAGCTATTTTTTTTTAGAAAAACCAAACCTCCTAGCTGGGCTTTGCCACCTGTTCGTGCCTCTGGCGTCCCTGCTGCAGAGGTGCACGCCACCTGTTCGACCTCGGTGGCGGCGAGTGATGCGCATCCGTCGACTCAGCAGGCATTGCGCCGCCTACGCAGCATCTGGCGTCATCCGTTCTGGTAGCTGTCAAGCGGGTGCCCTCGAGGTGTTCGTCTCAAGGTCTGGTGTCCTCCGCGTGGGACGAGCTGCTTCCTGACGGTGCGGCGGGGCTTGCGCTGTTCCCTTTCACAAACAGCCGCCGCGTGAGCTTGGCATGTGCCCATCTTTGCCGGCCTCGGGCCACGGTTTCCTGTTTGTTTCATGTCTGCAATGACTCGCCCAATGTTGCATCGTGGCATGCCTCCCGGGATTGCTGCTTCGCCGGTCGACACCCTGCTTCGGTTCGCCCTTGGACATTTCTCCTCGGCGGCATGTCGTCCTACATGTCCTCTGGACGGTGACCCGATTCGCCAACCTCTGTTTGTTGTATTCAGGGTCTGGAAAATTGTTGTAGTTCATTTGGCTTGCTAATAGGCTGGTTCCACCCTGTACTAGTAAACACTAAACACACACAGACTATAACCTTGAGGTCGGAAATACGTAGAACATAGCACTTGAATTTCCCCTAGGCACAGGAAACTAGACGTAGGTTGTCATGCACCAAACCAGCAGTGTGTGGGCAGTCCATAGACACGGACGGTTGTACTTCTGCTCAGCCCTGCGGTGCTGAAAATGCTTCTTTGATTGCTGTGACTTCAATTCCTGGATTGCTGGACGATCTTTAGGCATCTCTGCAGGACACAGTAGGCCAATCTTAACGAGAGAGATGATGAAAATCATTGTTCCTGCTGCCATTTGATGATTTTCCTGGTCTAATGTACTCCCTGCTTCTTCTTCACCTTGGGTCCCACAAAAGAGATTGATGATTCTAGCATCTAGAACCTCACGAATCATATAGAACAGAGTAATGGACCCAGTTTTCTTCCATAACACCTTCCTTATTGCTTCCTTGCTGGATTCCTTATCACTCCTGAGTCCTGACAGAAGGAGAAGACTGAAAGGGGCATTGCTTTCCTGAGACGGTTACCTGTGAACAGTACTTGTCACCCCTGTCACTGATTATGAAGTCCTACAACATAATGATATGGTCAAAATTTATTGTCTTGCTTTAGCCTTTTCTATCATGTGTTTATCCTTTTGATTCTCTATGAGCCTTGAGGATTCTGCTCTCATTCGACAGAGATATGGATTGTCATACTAATGGTGTTATTGCTGTGGCGGCTCATACACAATGACCGGTTACTGGAAGAGCAGCTGATGTTCTTGCTGCTGTGTTTACAGCAGCACAAGTTGCAATGAGACTTGTTACACTTGGAGAGAAGGTACGTCATGTACGGATCGTTAGTGTTTTTTCTGATTGGTAGCCCTTTCACAATTATTTTGTTTCAGTTACTGCATGGCTGTCGATAGTTCTCCCTGGATATATTAGTCTTCTCCTTTCTCTTTGTAATAGTCTGCAGATTTTGCTAGCTTTATTAGTAATCTCCTCTTCTCACCGCCGCTCAGATCAAAACTGTCTTCTCCAAAAATTCTTCTATTTGTGTGAGAGAAACATGATATCGTTTGCACATGCGTTTCAGTTTTCAACTTTAACAATCTGATGTGCAAGTTTAACATCTTTACATGGGTGTGGTTAGTTCATAGTTGGGCTTACACCTTAAAGTATTGTAACACAAGTTTATTATGTGTAGGAAGAAACAACCAAATCCAAAAAAAAACTTTATTTTATATAGGCTGAACTATAGTTTGCCTTCAGTACAAATACACATGTGCTAGTCAATTGGAAGATAATTCACCACATAGCATACTTTCAATGTAGAAAAATAAAATAAGGCCTTGTGTAGATAAAACTAGTCGTAGGTCACCAGCAGTGTGCATTGTTGAGGAAATCGTTAACTGGTAGCTGCTCGGTTGGCTGGTGAGTAGGGGATTAATCGACTAATCGGCAAGTTAATCGGCCATTTAATCAATTAATCGGACGATTTATCGGTTTATAGGCTACTCGGTGACCCTATGAGTAGGGATTAATCGGCAAGTTAACTGGTTAATCGGATGATTCTTGAACAGGGGCAGTGTGTGGGAAACTGATAGATACTGATGGTTGTACTTTTCTTCAGCCCTGCAGTGCTGAAAATCCTTCTTTGATTACGGTGACTTCAATGTAAACATGCTGCATCTCTGGATGATCTTTTGACGACTCCGCGGCCCATAGTAGGCCAATTTTAATTAGAGCGGTGATGCAGCTCATTTTCCTGCAGCCACATGATGATTTTCCTGGTCCAATAATATGCTTACTGCTTCTTTTTCTTCATCATGGTTCCCATAATAGAAGATGATTCTGGGATCAATAATCTCACAAATCTTCTCTAGGAATCCACAACAATTTGTAAACGCTCATGCTATCTTTAAACATTTCATCAGTTGAACGCTTTGATGTGAGCATCTCCAAGATGATGACTCTATAGCTCTAAACATCACCCTCCTTGGAGATTTTGCTCCCAAAGCCATATTGTGCAGTACATGTAGTTATTCAAACAAATAATTAGCAGAGAAGTACTGGAACATAAGAACCAGATTTTTTTACACGAAGGGCTGTGAAGTGTATGGGCTTGTTGGGCGAAGAAGGGTGCCGTGGGCGGCAAGGAGTGAGCGATTTTCCGTATGGCTGTGGTGGCTCATCATACACATGTCTGGTTACTGGAAGAGCAGCTGATGTTCTTGCTGCTGTGTTTACAGCGGCACAAGTTGCAATGAGACTTGTTACACGTGGAGAGAAGGTACGTCATGTACAGATCATTACTGTTATTTCTGATTGGTAGCCCTTTCACAATTATTTTGTTTCAGTTACTGCATGGCTGTCGATTTTGCTGGCTTTATTAGCAATCCCCTCTTCCCTCTGCCGCCCAGATTGAAACTGTCTTCTCCAAAAATTCTTCTATTTCTGTGAGACAGGCGTGATACCCTTGGCACATGCGTTTCAGTTTTCAAGTTTAACAGTCTGATGTGCAAGTTTAACATCTTTACCCGGACATGGTTAGTTCATAGTTGGGCTTACACCTTAAAGTGTTGTAACACAAGTTTATTAGGTGCAGGAATAAACAAGCAAGTCGAAAGGAAAGTTCCCATGCTGAACTTTATTTTGATATAGGCTGAACTATAGTTTGCCTTCATTACAAATACACATTTGCTAGTAAATTGGAAGATAATTCACCACATAGCAAGCTTTTAATTAAGAAAAATAAAATAAAGCCTTGTGTAGAGAAAACTAGTCGTAGGTCAATATAGATACTGATGGTTGTACTTTTCTTCAGACCCGCAGTGCTGAAAATGCTTCTTTGGTTACGGTGACTTCAATGTAAACGCCCTGCATCACTGGACGATCTTTAGGTGATTCTCTGTACTTGTGGCTGAAGTTCCCACTTTGGTGCAAGCCTAGATGGACAGTTTTCTCTTTGCTTGCTTCAGTAAAATCGCTGTAAATGAGAGAAATAGAGCCTTTTACATTATAAAGTGCGGATCTCAAAGCATTAGAAGGGTGCCGATTCAGGTGACCCCAACATCGCAACACACCAAAACCGCATTACATGTATGAATATAGGCGTTTTTCATGTAAGGAATATATCATATGAAGCACATGCTTTCAATTTTGTGAAAGAAATAGAAACATAATGTATTTCTATACTATATTGGGAAAATAAAAAGGAGTAGGCATAAAAAAATAAGATCGATACACAAGACAGTGTGGCCAGACAGGACAAGTACCTTATCTTTTATGTGAGCGAGCTTCATCTTGTTTTCCTCCGATTCGCACCACTTCTTCAAATCAGGGCACCCGTAAATCTTCAGTATTTGGAGCTTGGTGAGTTGTTGTATGCCATCTGGCAAAGACTTGATGCCTTCACAATATTCGATCCGAAGGTATTTGAGACCAGTTAAGTGCATGACCCAATGCGGCAATGATGAGATGTTGCATATTTTTATCACCAGATGTGTAACAGAGGACAGATGTGAGATGATGTCAGGGGAGACGGTCAGGTCAGAACAACTCGTGATGCCTAAAGAATAGAGACCAGAGAGGTGACGAAGCAGTCTCCACTGCTGCATGGGCAGCTCACTGTATTCAACTAGTAGAGTAGTTGCAGTGGTTAATACTTCTACTGAAGAAGAAGAAGAGGAGGAAGCACCTGTGGTTGACATTGTACACTCTCCCCATGAAGACAGCACATTAGAACTCCGTCTTATCTGTAAGCTGCCAACTTCTCTAGGAAGACATGGCCCCATCCTCAACTTGGGGCAATCTTTTATGGTCAAACTTTTCGTTGCTCCCATGTTGAACTCTTCTAGATGTTCCATACTGGTCAGCTTCACCGAAATCTGTTGGCCGACCCATGTTGGCAAGCTGACGCCATTATAACCATTTATCACCAACTCTGTTACACTTTTGGGTGGCACTAGTTTCTCCAACAACACTTTATCATCCACAAACCTCTCAGCACCTTCACTCCACGACAATGTCAACCTTTCGAGATTGTTTTTTTCCATCAATTTTATATTCTGAACCTCCTCTACGGACTTCACTCTTTCAAGGCAGATTATATCCAACACCTGAGGATTCGTGTCCTGTAAGCAGACAAGATTGCTTCTCGATTCACCATCTCCAATACAGACCGGAAATGGTAATGATACGAAACTGGTACTAGGATGAGGTACGGGTTTTTCACTAAGACGATGGCAGCCCACTAAATATAGGTTCTTCAAACTATCAATTCTACCTATACTTTCCGGTATCTTCTGAATCTCTTGGCAGCGCGAGAGGTTCAATGTGTGCAGCTTTCTCAGGTTACAAAAACTTTCAGGTAAAGAAGTAATACCATCATTCCGAGAAAAGTCCAAATGCTCCAGATTGGAAAGGGCACTGATATGGTCCATCAAACTGTCATTGTCACCTTCTCCAAGGCACTGACTAGTAAGGCCATCTGGAGATTGTCGTTGCGATCCAATACAACAACTTGATAAGTTCGGATATTGCAGTTCCGTGAAGCTCGACATAAACTTTGATATATTCTCCAATTTGACAAATGACAAATCAAGATGCACCAATTTTTTTAGCGCCCCGAATGATTCTGGGAGTTCTTTTATTCTCCGACAGAATGACAAATCAAGATATTGTAGGTCTGTGAGGCTCCACATAAACGTGGATATATTCTCCAAAGCAGAGCATCTGGACAAATCAAGATGAACCAACTTTTCTAGCTTCCCAAATGATTCTGGCAGTTCTTTAATTCCCACACAGCCTGACAAATCAAGATATTGCAGGTCCGTGAGGCTCCACATAAACTTGGATATGTCTTCCAAAGCAGAGCATTCGGATAAATCAAGATGCACCAACTTTTTTAGCTGCCCAAATGATTCTGGCAGTTCTTTAATTTCATCACAGCCTGACAAATCAAGATATTGTAGGTCTGTGAGGCTCCACATAAACGTGGATATATTCTCCAAAGCAGAGCATCTGGACAAATCAAGATGAACCAACTTTTTTAGCTTCCCAAATGATTCTGGGAGTTCTTCAATTCTCTTACAGCCTGACAAATCAAGATACATCAGACTCTCGATTTCTCCGATTGACTCTGGCAGTGCAGATAGAGAAGATTCTTGAAGACTGAGATAAAGTAATTTTGACAGCCTAGTGATACTATCCGGAATAACTTCATGTTGTACTCTTGGAGAATTAAGATACCTCAACTGCTTGAATCGGCCAATTGAATTTGTCAATTTATGAATGGAGCACTCGCTCAAGTCCAAGACACGCAGGGACTTAGCAGAGGAAAATGTAGCACCATGAAGTCGAATTTCAGCCGAGCCCATAAAACGGATTGCCCTTATCCTCCGTGACTCCAATGGCTTGCTACAATCATTGAGCAGTGCATAGTGGCAGCGGTTTTCCACAATGTTGCCATCATTGCCAGCAAGAAGAAATTCGTCCTCCATCACCGATCTAGCTAGATCATGCAACAGGTCATGCATGGTGAATGATGTAACATTGGCATCGTCATCATACAATCTTGCAATCTGAAACAAAAGCCATTCACAGTGTCAGATTTTTATATTCCAAATATTTCACGCACTAACCAATTTAACAGAGACAGGTAGCATACTGGACAAAATTAAGCTACACAATTGTGTCGTTCAACCAATTTGATTTTTTTTTGAAAGGGAGGATAATCCACGGCCTCTGGGTCAGGAGGACACATGCAGCCATATATATTATTAAGAATGCAAAACTCAGTGTTCGAACAACATTGACCAGGAAATAAAGCGAAAATATTTTCCAAGGCCGCATGCCTTGGGACAATAACTCCAACAGATAGCCACTAACACTATATTACAAGATGGCATCAATACAAAAAGTACACAACCACTAGGCTACGCCTTCAAGAAAGAACCATGCACGTGCGCCGATAATGGCGAGTCCAATACAAGACTGAACTCCGGATTCCCATCCCCGTAGCCCAGGTTCAATCCACCACCTTCAGCAAGGACACGACGCAGGTGCGTGTCGATATAGCATGATCAAAGATCTTGTATTTCCACCTGAGTGCGTAAGGTCATCGTTGAAGCCATGTGTACCATCATCCCTTATCCGGCTACCGAAGCCTCGATAACCGAATACCTCTGGAGAAGACACCTGAAGACAGACGTCTCATATCGCCCAGCTCCCGTCATTGTCGCACCACCTTCGATCCAGTAGCAACAAGCTAGACATGAGACATTTGCCAGAGCCACCGTGCAGCACAACCAGTAGTAGGCATGACTTCACGTTGCTGCATGAGACGTCATGTGTAGCATCAGTTGGCGGCGCATCCGCGGGAGGCTTCACCTGCCAGTGACAGGCACTGCCCGGCGACTTCGAAAGAGACACATGTGTCACCTGCAGAGCCGTATCGCGCCCGATCTGTTGATGGAGGGGACGTCCCATACTGCCACCAGCCTCAGAAAGGTCGTCACCACCTCGAGATCTAGACTCCGAGTCGCCCACACAACCACGAAGTCCACCACCGTCGAAGAAAAGGGGCAACCGCCCTGATTCTGGACGCTTTAGAGAGCACCCACCACCGCGCTAGCCGCTGCCGTCACTCGTACAACGGCATTGTCGCCACTACCGTCAGATTGGGGCACTATGTCCCGAATCCCTCAAGCGCAGCCACATGCCCAGTCGCGCTTGACCTCCCATCACTATGATGAGAAGGCCACTAGGAAATCCGCCGCTAGAGGACGCCGCCCCGGCATCCACCGCCGCATCGTGAGCAGGCCATGTCGGGTAGGGAGATCCCCATCTTCACCCCAGCCGCGATGTAGCCGGACAGTCGCAGCCTGCTCCGCCCACGGGTCAAATCTGGCCGTCGCTGATCCCCCGAGCACGCACCACCCAATATCGGCCGACGCGCAGCAGGTGCGCCGCCGTCGCAGCCTTGCTCCGGCCCAACAACTCAGGCTTGCACCGAGCCCACCATGCAAGAGGACGATGGATCCTCGCCGCCAGCGGCGGTGGCCGGGTTTCGCTTGAGCACCATCTGGCGGCGGCGAGGGAGGAGGAGGGCGGAGAAGGGAAGACCCCGCGACGGCTAGGTTTTCCCTCCTGTCACGACCGACATGAGGGACGTGCTTGATTTGATTGCCCTTGTAGAAAGGACACAAGATAAGTGGACCTTTGAGTATTATTTTGCGCTTGGGAGTAGAAAATAATACTATGTGTTGCCGAAAATCCGTTGGCGTGCCCGGGCTCGCCTGCCCACAATATCACTGGGCGTCGATCAGCCTAGGATATGAAGCGCGTGCGATATTTTAGGATCGTAGATGACGAGTAATTAATGGGAGACGTGGGCGATGAGAGATGACGTTTGTACGGCGCGGGGCGACGGCCGTCCAAGCAGCAGCGGCGACGTTATGTCCTGTAGCAACTTGTAACGGAAGTCCAAACGGGGTCGTCACTACCAGCTACCACGGGGGGCCAGTTTGGACTAATCGATCCCCAAATCGAAGAGCAAACCCTAAGCGCATACGCGACAGATCCCCAATCGGGAGCAAGGTACAACAGTGCGAGAGGAGATGGCAGATGCAAATCAAGGTGGTGATCCGGCGCCCCTGTCGATCAGGACTTGTCCGGAATCACAACGTAAGCATCTAGTTTCTGCATCGTTCTCGTCGGATCCGTTGAATATCTCATTTCTTAGCTTTTTTCGCCGGTCAAATTCAGCCGTCCCGCCGGGGACGCGATTTCTACTGGTGGCAGCAAGGCTACACCGACCATCTCGCTTCACTTTGCCCTGCCACACCACAATTGCCGCAAATCCAGCCACCGGACGAGCAAGGCGGGCAAGGACTTGGAGTTCAAGATATACAGCTGCCGCACGCACCACAGGGGCAGCGGAATGGCGCGCCGGAGGGCACGCAGTTCATTTCTTCAGTCTGCACAGTTGCAGGATACATTCTTGCCGCGCTCCCTCCTGCTGGGCGCCAGGGGACCGCCGATGTTGATGCTGCATCCATCAATTTGGTGGTGTCTGTGGTGAACCTCGTCATTGGCGTTGCAATCCTTGTGTTTGTGGTGGCCGATGTGGTCATGCGTGTGCTTGCTTAGGCGTTAGCTGCGATGAAGGGAATCCTAGGTTTGCTGTCAAGCATATCAAATTGTAGATGCAGCTGGAGTGGGTATTTGCTGATGGCGTACCTTTTGTAGCGACCAAGTTTAAGTGTGTGTTGTATACCCTCTGTTTGTGCAACTAATATTCGTAATGAAAGTGTGTTTGTTGGCTTAGTATGCATGAAATTAAAAGTTAAATTTGATGTTCATCTTTAAAAAAAATAACAAAAACAAAATCGTCATGTGGTAGGAGGCAAGATGTATTTGTCAAATTAATCCAATTAATGGCCAGGCGAAAAGTAATTGGTAATTAGGCTAATTAAATGGTGGGACAGTGCTTAAGGTGCGGTCAGATGGGCGATAGTCATGCATCCTTTTTTTGTAAGTGGTAGTACAAATTTGTTTTAGTCATGTAGGTCGTCAGTCATGCATCCCTTTTTTGGTGCTCTGACTTTGTGTTTTTTTGTCATGTTTTCGTGTTTTTTTTGTGTGATGCAGCGGGACAAGGTGCACAACAGAGGACTGTGCCCATGGTGGCCCGTCGTGTTGTTATGTCTGATGACGAAGGTATCGTTGCTATGTAAATTGCCCATAGTAAAATGCGTGGATGTCATAGTGAGCTGAAAGTGCACAGTTTTTCTTTTTGTAATTTATGATGCCAACCTTGTGTGATGCAGGTGGTAGCTGTACGAATGATTGTAGAAACCAAAATGCGTGGATGTCATAGTGAGCTGAAAGTGCACAGTTTTTCTTTTTGTAATTTATGATGCCAACCTTGTGTGATGCAGGTGGTAGCTGTACGAATGATTGTAGAAACCAAAATGCAGGGAAGAGGCCTTGTTGTTCAATCTGGCATGAGAGGTGTGTTTTTGTGTCCTTTTTGTTGGCCTCCTTTTTTTTCAAACATGGGACCGAATGATGTAAAGAAGTCTTCAGTCTAGCATGAGAGCACAGAACCGAATCAAGTACAGCCTGACTGTTTTACAAAATCTTTTTTCTTGCAGATTCATATTTGGAGACATTAAATCTTGATGATGCGGCCCTGTGTATAACAATCCTGTGAAGGAGCACCGGGCCATTGAGGACAACAACATTATGTTGGACAGAATTACAGTTTATGCCCAAGCAGTGCTCGACACCGTCCGTTGTTTGTAAGACAATGGCGATCCAGAGCCAAATGTTGTTTATTTTGGGCAGGCGGAGGCTAAGTTGCCTAAAAGGAGGTATGTCATGTCAGCATGTTTTGCTAGAAATGGTTAAGTGGTTGTCTTCTGCAGCCCCCACCAATCCCATTGGTGAATAGGTTCCACACATGGATATTTGGAGGCAATGATTTTGACATGGACAAGTATTGAAACTAGTGGCTAATCATAGAGGGTCACAATTTTTTTTGTGGGAAACATGTTTCATGCTGCTTTGAAAAAACATATTTATTAAGAGGGAGTGTCTCAATTATTTTACATGTTGATGTTACAGCAAGGCAGCTGTCACTGGGTACATGATACTTTTTTCTATTTTGGCGACACAAATATCTGAATTGTGGCTGTTTTTTTTTGTCTTGTACAGTGTATGGTTTGTTCACGCACACCCGTGGTTTCTGAGGGTGAGGGTGAACGTTGTATGTGTTCACCAGCAGATGCTCAGGGTGCATCCACTTGATCACGGCATGTCAGATGGTATGTGTGTATGTGTCCAACTTGCACACGCCAATCATGACATCACGGCATGTCAGATGGAATGAAGCTGATGTTTTTGCCATTAACATTAACATATAGGAGTAGTTCA